CTATGGCAGATTCTCCTACATCTAGCTAGACTCCCAGAGCTAGCTAAGCTACAGCCCAGCTATAGAGAAAACAGATGTACCGCACGGATCACGTTTATTCAGGAAGTTATCATTAGCCCTTTAGTTGACTTCAGGCTTCACAGAGGGGAAGGAATATCAAAGTGAAAACAAGTCGAGAGGAGGGGAACTGAAGAGTGTTTCAAAGACGAAGGTTGAAAATTTAAAAAATGTGATGTAGTACTGTGGAAGTGATTGAGTATGTCATACAGGGGTGCCTTGGTAGTCTGAAGTCAACTGCCGGTTAATAGGCTTTTTTGCCGTATGAGTATACGTTGTCCAGGGTGCACCACGTGGAGGTAAGTCTATCGCACACCCCTTATTCAGGAAGTATACTGTGGTAAAAGTGTGCCCGCCGGAATGTTAGTCATAATCAAAATGGCGGATTCGCTTAAACTAACGCAGGCTTCTGATTGGCCATTGGTTGTGAGCGCATGCGATCACGCATAGGGGATGACGTGCCTCACACAGTTAACATTTCTTATTGAATAACTAGAGCAGGTTCCATGGTAGCCAGCACTTAAGTAAATTCCGAATCCGCACCCTATTGAGAGCTAAACCATGGGACGAATGATAAATCCTATCGAAAGTGATAACTAATTATATATATAAGGAATGATCATATGTCTATAGAATGCTATCAATTTTCGTACCAGAAGGAGATTAGACAAGAGAATGGATAGAAAGCACTTTAGTGAAAATGTAGTGAAACAAATAGGGACAAAGAGCAGCTAAATGAAAAGCACAGTTATTTTTAAAGAACGATGCACATGCTATGATTGGAATGCATCAATCAAGCAAAAAGGAAAGCTATAAACTACTTTTAGACAAACTTTTCAGTTAATTTACTTTACAAATGAGAAATTCTCAACAATATAAACAGGTAACTTGTCATCTATAAAATTAGATTGTGCTTTTAAATTCAAGCAAGTGTATTCACTGATTTACTGTTACTTTGTTGGTTATACCATGCAGAAAGTATCTGGTGTGAGGATCATTGGGATTAAATTAAGAAGTTGGTCGACAGCAAATACCCTTACTGAACAGAAGTACAAGACTTTACGAAATTTGTCAAGTTATGTAGAATATGAATCTAATAAATATCAGCTTCGCAGAAAATAACTTTTGAAATGAATAGAAAATTAATGTAACTAAATTAATTAGCAGAAAATCAATAATATTGAAAAAGGAAAAACACGATTACCGCAGGCTAATATTTTTCGATTATGAAATACACTCACTGTAAATAAGAATAGATGAATCAATACATAATAGGCGGTCAAGAAATTAACAGGCGAAAGCAGCTTCAGTTGAGCCTAAGCTTCATATTCATTGTCCTCCAATCAATCACGCTATTTTTAAGAATTTCGACAAGCTATTCTGGTTTTGACAACGAAATACATGACTTGTAAATGTTAGGAGATATATGGTTATCTATCCGGAGATTATTCAATAACCAAGAGCATTTTCAATATTGTAGCAATCAATAAAAATTTCTTGAAATAATGCTAATCAGTGTATTAAGAGTTAAAATGCTTTGAAAATTCGAGGTCTTCTCACTTTGGCATACCGCCCTCCACGTTCTTCGATAATTGTAAGTACAAATTATTATAGTTCAAACATCAAGAGATGCCTTTAAAAATATTAGCACGACGAAATGTATTGCCAGTATCAAAAGAATGAAAGGATTGAAATGTTCTTAAAAGTAAAATATAATAGAATACATCTTAAAAACGTATTTAGTAAATAACAATTTCTAATCGTGTAATAATATATACTTTGTATATGACAGTGAGAAGATTGATTTTAAGATTAGACGGAAGTTACTCAATAGTAGACAGAAGTATTAGTTTGTGATATTAAATAAGATATTGGTAAATAATTCTGTCACTTTTATATAGTAGGAGTGAAGTCATTTTACTATAACCTTAATTCTGTATTTAAACCTAAATTAGTAAGTTCAAATTTTGCAAAAAATTGAAACAAAATAGAAATTTCCCTAAGATCTTTCAGAATATTTGGAAAATAGATTTAAATTTAAATTAACTTAAATAGCACAATCAGTAATTCCACTGACCATGAAGATACGTTGAAAAAAGGACCAAAATACAAGTTGAAGATTTGAGCGATGCTAAACATGTATTAGTGTTACATTCTTAATGATCACAATAGATTCACTAAAAAATATTCCATTTTTTCTGCAGATCTATTCGTGGAAAAATGTAATGTTAGCAGAATATTGATAACAAATAATAGTAAGGTTTATCAATACAATATAACGACAAGTTATCGGACTAACCTTAAAGTATTACCATATTAAAAACAATATAAAAGAGGATTTTACTGCTTGAAAGTTGTTGCATTATTTCCATTGAGATATTTTAGATTCCATTGAAGCATCATTCTGATTTGTCCAATTACACGATAATACTATTGGCCCAATATTCACTGTGCATGTTAATTTCAGCCCTTTTCAGTTTCCTTGAAGATGGAGACGATGATAATGAATCAACCCCTTGTTGTGGACCTTGTATGCTCATTTATAACCCTAATTTTTATTAAAGATCTTTAAATACGCATATATTATCTATTCTAATTTATTTATGTTGCTTATTCTTCAGGTTATCAATAATTTTATTGTTATTATTTCAACGGAAAAATTAGTAATATTTTCACTATCTTTGTAAAGAAAGAAGTTGAATTTATTACGTCGGTGTTATTATTTATATGATTCTTAGGTATATTCCTGCATTTGAGCGATATATTTTTGTAGTGTTATCTCCTTTTGATTACTCTTACACTATTATAATAATGATTTTCCTTCTAGGGCACAGGTGTGCTAAAAGCTGGATTTGCTGCAGATCAGGTCCCTAAATATTACTTCCCAAACTTGTAAGGAAATGTTTTTTCACTTTTTTCATGTCTTCAAGGTTTCTTTAAGGTTTACTTATTTAATTTTTAGTATTGGTCGACCCAAACATGTTCGAGCAATGGCGGGAGCGATAGAAGGAGACCATTTTATCGGTCCAAAAGCCCAAGAGCACCGCGGTCTTCTCAATATCCGTTATCCAATCGAACATGGAATTGTTCGTGACTGGAGCGATATGGAACATATCTGGAATTACATTTATAGTAAGGATCAACTCATGGTCAGTCCTGAGGAACATCCAGTCCTATTTACAGAAGCTCCCCTTAATCCCAGATGGAATCGAGAGAAAATGGCTGAGATGCTTTTTGAAACATTCAGTGTTCCTGCTCTCTACGTGTCTATGCAGGCAGTTCTCAGTCTGTGAGTTTTGTTGTTCATATTTTGTGTGCTTTTGTGCTAGGAATAGTTTTTGCAGAATTATTGCGAAGGTCATGAAGCTTTTGAATAAGGGATGCGTGACCTGTTATTTTAGAAGAAGCAGTTAGTGTCACCTAATTATTGATATCCAAATTGATCTCAAATGTCTTATTATGAGTAAGTAGCTGATTTATCAATCACTCAATCGATTGTTTTTCTCTGTAATGTTTTTTACAACATAGCTTTCTCATAGGTGTCTCTCAAATAAATTGGTGTAAATTCTTTTGCCTTGATTTAAGTACGGTTTAATGAATGAAAAATTCTTGCTCTTTCCCTCAAGTTGAGTTAGGTCGTTTTAGTAAAGGGTATGCTTACCTATTTCACATACTTAGCCTTTTCATGTTCGGACTGGTTCTTCATTCATTTCACATTTTCCATATGTAGATTACTTCCAAATTAAATCTCCTTTTTTCCACTTGCACCAATAATACTACATTGAATTTAGCTGTCCTACTTGAGTTCTCTGTTTGTTACATTCACTTTGAATTCCCGTTATGTTGTGCTATAGGCAAATGCACTACCGTCTTATAATACTGATAAATTTTAATCTGCATTGGTTTCGATTGCTTAGGATATGACTCACTTCTACTAGTAGAGTGCGTGTAAGCAGCCACTTGTTGAGCGTTGTGCATTTGTAATGGCAGAATTTATAATGAGAAATGTTATTTAAGACACCCACTGGTGAAATCGATCAGTGATTTTCTTGCACTAAGTGTGTTTAGCTGAGACGCAAACGTTTTAAATTGCTTTTTAGTGATCATGCTTGTGGAGTTGGCCCCATTTTACTATCATTATCAGTTATTATTGGCAAATAACTGCGCCTACCAATGTATTAAATCATTACTTGTCTACCATTCTGATATATATCATTTAAGATCAAAAGGGACACGAATTCTGGGCACCTTCTAACGAAAGTTATCTTAGTATTACTGTTTTTATCTAGTTTTTTTCTGCTCTGAAAAGTTTCTCTCATAGGATCTTTATACGACACCTAAGATTTTACTATCCGAAATGCTAGCATTTGTACTCTGAATACTTTTTTTCATTGCTGTCCAACGTTGGGTGTGATGCTTTTCTCAGTCTCACTTTCAGTCTCAAGCTACCATCTATAATCCTCCCACATAACCCAAGCTAACTTGTTCGTAATTTTATTATTTACTTGCACAAAGGATTGAATTCTCTTCAAATTTGGCCTAATTTGGTTAGCACAATTTTACAGCTTTTTTGTATGATTCTGGTAAACTCTGAGAAGGCAGATTGATCTTGTATGATTAACACCCCTTCCGCGAATTGCTAAATGACGCTGGAGTTAAAGAAAAGCACTAGAAGAATTGTATTTCCTTGCATTATGGCAAACGCATTTTGCTCTTATTCTGAACATTATTGTTTCCGCTGCATTTCGAAGCCACAATTTTTCCAAGGTAGGTATTTATTTACCTTGTATTATCTTTATGTATGCTTCAATTTCTTGTTTTACTAACTTCAATTTAGTATCCTTCCAATTTGGCACTATTCGAGCTCAATTTGCCTCGTATTAAACAGTAATAGCCGTTTTAGATGAAGTCTGGGTGTTTGTCCATGTCATACTGGAGCTAATTTTTGGTTTTTTAACCTGTTCTTTTTCATAGCACCCTGCGCGACATATTTTATGGATTAAACTGTTTTGCCCTGACGTTTCCTTTTTGACACTGCTCTGATCCACCCTTTATTTCCTTTCTAGCTACGCCTCGGGTCGAACAACTGGAGTAGTCTTAGACGCCGGAGACGGCGTAACCCACGCCGCTCCAATTTATGAGGGCTACGCTCTTCCACATTCCATCGAACGTACTGATCTCGCAGGTCGAGATGTAACACGTTACTTACGTCTCCTGCTACGCAAAGAGGGCACTGATCTCCATACAACTGCAGAATTTGAGATTGTTCGACAGATTAAGGAGCGTTGTTGCTTCATTTCCCTCAATCCTGGCAAAGTGGAGGCTGTAGATGCTCAAGAATTGTATCGTCTGCCAGACGGTTCTGCTCTCCAAGTTGGATCGGCTAGATTCAAGGCGCCAGAATTGCTATTCCGCCCAGATTTGATTGGGGAAGAGTATTTTGGTATCCATCAGGTTAGCTGGCGTCTAAACTATAATTTAATTTGATGAAAGATATTTTAAATTATATTCAAGGTAACTCAGAAAAAAATTAAGGAGTCGAATTATTTCATCTGTTAAGTGGTGACGAGATCGATTTCCCTCGGCTTATGCTCTGTTGCATAACAATATTGGTATCAAAAGTCTGTTGCGCAGTGGTTCCGATGCCTGCCTTTACATTTCGGGCGAAGTATATGACCAGTCTTGTGGTCAAATTGTTGCTAAATAAAAGTGTGGCAAAGTGGGGGTTCCTTGTAGGAAGTCTCATCAGCTCAAGTTAAGTCGGCTTGAAATGCGTTGCACTATTGAAAGGATCCTTTTATTGGAATAGGATCATATTCAACTATTTCCGTTATCGGTTATGAAACCTGACTATCTATTTATTCGATCGAGTTCTAATCGTTTCGATTTCTGCCTGACTTTTTTTGTGAAGCGTAGCTACTAATATCCCATGGTTTCTTACACAGCGCAATTATCTTGTGCACTCAACGCTCTCAGTTTTAAACTCATTGGTCCACTTCTGCTTCTATTCTCTGCTAGCCTGTTGCAGCCTGCAATGTGCTTATTAACCATAGAAAACAGTTGCTTTTTTTCTGAGAGCTCAGCATTTGTGCCTTATAGGCCATTGAATAGAGGTGATAGGGGCCTTTGTTGTTTATGCTTAGCACACTGATTAGTGAATTTTCATACCCAAGAAACGGCATCACATTAAATAGGCGATAAGGAATGTGAAATTTGAAAGTTTCTAATTGGAAAGGAAAATGGTTGTTAAGGTCTCTTCGGTTTGAGATACGTGGACGATCCGGAAAATTCACCTGCAAATTTTAAATTGAATAAAGATTTGCACGTTTTTTTACAAGTCCGCATATATACTTGGATCTTCTTTAATAACATACAACTGTCCCATCATTCTATGGGGGGTCATTACCAAGACAGGTTGCAACTCAAGATAATTGGCAATTTTCGACCCTTCAAATCATAAATTTTGAGCACAAAACCATTCTACAATTTATAGCTAAATTGGAAACCTGTTCAGGTCAAGATTTACATCGGCGATATGTGGATCCTGTACAATGTAGAGCAGTCATTTATGATCGGATTGGAGGGTAACCCACCACAGCACGAAATCCAGAAAACCTCTAGTGTGTAGAAAGTAGTGGAGCAAGATGGACGAGTTTCCATTGAGGAAATTGCCAATGATTTAGGAATCCTACACGGATCAGCATTTCTAACTCTCAGTGAAAACCTTAGCTTGAGCAAGCTCTCGGTGATCACGATGGTTTCCAAAGCGTTAAAGGAACAACAACTGATCCAAATAGCTGCGCTTCCTTTAGCAACTCTGGCACAGATGGAGGCAAATGAGGTTAATTCTAAGCGCTATATAACTGAAGGCGTAGCCTGAATCTACCAATTCAATCCAGAAAACAAAATTCAGTCAAAAGAGTGCCTTCAAAAGGAACACATGGGTCTATCCATTTCAAAGCTGAAAGGTGTGTTAAGAAGGTCATCTTCACTATTTTTGGGATTCGTAAGTACAGTCTAGGAGAACAAATAGGGTTCCATCGATTTATTGTGAAGGCGTTTGGACAGTCAAACTTTGTTTCATCATGGCAATGCTTCTGCGCATTCTTCAAGATCTGTCGGGGTCTGTCTTGCGAATTTTGGTTAGAAACACTTCCACTCCCTCCTTATACTGCAGACCTAGCTCCCTCCAACTTTTTTTCAAACTACAAGAACATCTTAAAGACACCTTTAGATGAAATAAAAAGAAAGCAATTTCACGATGATTGAGACAGCCCCCAAAATCCTATCATGAGGAGGCTTACCAGGTGAAAATATAGATAATTAAATGGAGGTTATGTTTGAAAACGAGTGCAATCAATTAATAAATAGTTAAATTATGGACTTGGGGTGTGCGATAGACTTACCTCCACGCGGTACACCCTGGGCAACGTATACTCATACGTTAAAAAAGTCTATTAACCGGCAGTTGACTTCTGACTTCAAACTACCAAGACCCCATTGCATTTCATATTTGACTAATTTCACAGTACTCGCCTCACCTTTTTTCTACCTTTGTCTGCCTGTCTCATTTACGTCTGTGAATCATTATTCTGTCCCCCTCTCGACTTTTTTTCACTTCGGTGTTCCTCTTCCTTTCTGTGAAGCCCGAAGTCAACTAAATTGCTAATGGTACCTATCATAACGCCTGCCATTTGAAATATATATATAAATTATGGACTTTGTCTGAGCACTTTTTGA